AATTTCGCATAATGACGCTATGTACTTATAAGTGAATCTAAATGACAAGTCCTAAATAGATATCATTTTTCGGCGTAAGAAAAAGCTTAAGGAGGCAGTTGCTTCAATTGTCAAGAAAGTGAAAGATAGGCATCATAAAATAAATAGTGCTTCCTTTATTAAAACCTAGGATTGATGTTGCATCCCAAAAATGATAGCTTCGTCAAGCAAACAAAGATGTACTACACACAAGCAGACAATAAAGCACCAAGGATCGTGAAAAAGCACAATACTTCAATATGCATATAATGTAAGAAGCAGAAAGATCAGCTAGTGGAAAAAAATGTGAACTGTGAAAATGTAAAAAAGAGGGGGGAAATAAGAGAATCAGATACATAGGATGAAAATAAAATGAATATTCTCTCCAAGTGTATGAAAATATGACGTTTTATCCGCATATAATATAAAAATCATTGCAGTGACGGTGCTATATAGCTTGATCAAAAGTATGGAATAGAAGATCCTAAAATTCAACTCGGTAGGAAATATATAAAATATTACGTCTTGCTTAAGGTAGAAAAGAATTCTGTAATGAACACAGATAAACTCATAGTCTGTAAAGAAGACGCTTTATGAAGGATGTGAGACTTGCATAATTTTTTCCAATGGAAAGAGAAAAACGTGAAAGAATAGTATATAGAAACAATGGATGGGAATACATAGTGGGAATAAAGTCAACAATTAAAGGGTCTGGAAGCAAGTCTTGGAGTAAGAAGATTGAAGATGATAAGATAGGATGAAGATAGTGCGTTAAAAAGAAAGGAAAATGGGAGAGGTGATTGGTAAAAAAGGTCATACATCGGTGGTGATACCATTCAAGAAGAGTTGTAAGCCGACGAAGAAGGCCCATCAAAAATATAGCCATCCCATATTTCTTGGAACAAAGGGGCACAATTTATGCGCGACCCAAGACGGCTGCAGAGCAGAAAGCATCCTGATAGCTTACGATGCAGAGAATAACTCTCATTAGGAGGAGGAGTCAAACGATGCTCGAGCATTACGGGCACCAACCGATTGATCCTGTGTGTTGTAGATTGTGATTCAAAATCGAAGGCCTCGTTGGTGGCGAATACTTCACCCAAAATACTAACTGCGTCAAGATGTGTCTCTGTCATCAGCTAGTAAGAAAAAAAGAAGGCATGGTAAAATTTGTGTAAACCATTAGATAAAATGGATACATGGTTTTAATAGAGGCTGGTGAAAAATAGAGCGGACTAAATAGCAGTCGATAAAAAGACTGGCTAGTAGCCAATAAATCAAGAGACGAAGACAAATAAAGAATGGATACAGATTGTAACCAAATATATGAGATAGAGGTAAAAACGAATATGCGGATTTGAGAGGCAGATTCGAACTTACAGCTCTACATATTTTATATCTCTATACAGAAGCACGAAGTACTCAACTTTTTGTCGAAGTTA